TTTCTCAGTCATTAAGTTGAAAAAAATATGAAGTAGAAATTTACTTCTAAAATGGAGCTCTCTTCCTCAGGAATTTGCTTCAGTGGGGACTGTGAGATATTCTCTTTGTAATGATTTATATTACAAAAATAGCTCTGTCCTGTGTCTGCAAACAGTTAGAAATGTGAGCCTGGAAAAGAAATCTAGCAGCTAACTCCTCAGCCCTACAGCTTGAGTAAACCAATCATAAACAAAATGAATTACAAAAGCAACTGAAGAACTAAACTTCCCTATAAATACAATGTCCTCTCCTCAGAAGTCTGAAAATACTCTAGGCTTTTTAGCCTTACCCAAAGCCTGCTGTATCCAAGCTTTTTTGGCCTCAATGTGGGGAATGAGTTCCAAAGCAGAAGAGTCTCAGTGGCTGTGCCTCCTCCAGGCTCTCCCACTGCTGGGGCTGTGCTGAGTCAGGGAGTCAGGGAGTCACAGCTCACAGAGGTCCCTCTCCATGGCAAAATGAGGTTGTTGAAAGAGCACGACCTCATATTCGTATTTATACACCTGACCTAGCAGTCACCGTGCCCCTTCAACATGTTCTGCTGTGACACTCGCTCACCCAAGTGACTCTGTGTGGAGCCACCGAGGGCTGTGCTGGGCTCTGCAATGGTCAGTGTGCTGGAACAGAGCATGGCCTCACTGGGCAGTGACAGCTCCCTCCAGGGACAGCTTTCCTCTGAGCAGGAACTTGGATCGGAGCACTTGGTACAATCACAAATGGTGCTTGCTTCCTCGGAGCCTGCATGCCCTTTGGCTGTGGTTTTTATCTCTGTTTACTATAGAAAAAGCTTTAGCAGATTATGCTGTGTCATTCAGTTCCCTGCCAGAGTGTGTGTTAAAGAGAAACTAGAAAGTGTGTGAGTGCAAAAATAGTAGCTGTAATTTTTTTGAGGCATAGGCAAGGTCATTACAAATTATATGAGGCAATGAGGATGTGAGGATCTTAGATCAAATTTAACTGCTTTATCTGGAGACCTAAGAAAAGAGAAAAATGTGCTTTTACTGATATTGCCAATTAGGGAGCTGCCAGGTGGCCAGTTAATAACCCAGATGTGCTGCAAGATGCAGCATCAGCAGAGGCTGTTTGTGAAGGGAAGCACAGGAGAGTTTTCCAGGGCTCAGCACCAGCCCGTTCCTTCTGGCTATGGGCGTGACTTGGGTCCGGGAGATGTGACAAGAGGGGGAGCCTGGGGTAGGTAAAGGCTAATCCATACAGGGATAAGAGCTTAGGAAAATTGCAGAGAAGAAGGAGGGAAATGCAATGAAATCTGAGGAGCAGTTGGCCACTGGCAATGCAGAAGCCTGGGAATGGTGTCTTGACTCCACATCATGCAGATATCTGTGGTGCTGATGGGCTGATTTAGAGACAGCTGAGACCAAAGGCTGGGTGAGTCATGGAAATGGGTTGTAGCACCTTCCCCTTTTGTCACTAGCTGTAATCTGTGTCTGTCACACTGATGTCAGCCCCGTTCCTGCCGGAAACTGCATCATCACTGACATGAGATCAGTTACTGTGACTCTCTCATGCCTCAAGGGACTGGAGCCCAGGCTTCTTACTGATCCCTGAAGTACACCGGGAATGATGTAGGAGAAGGGGCTGACCTTTCACTACTGCAAACTGAACTGTCTGGGCATGATGCCCAATGGGAATTTGGGAGAAAGGATTGAAGGGAACAGCACGTGAGCCTGGGAGGCAGCTGGCAGGGTTGAGCTTGCAGCTTTGCCATCAGCAGGAGGCACAGAGCTCAACTCAGCCCACTTCAGGCGTTCCCTGACACTGCTGAAAAACTGGGGGGGGGGGGCTTTCCTGGGTACAGGTTGTAGGAAACAGTCTTGCTCCTGGTTGTCCAGAACTTCTTGAATAAAACTTCCTGGACTTGCCTCTTCTGGGGACAAACCCAAGGCAGAAAAAAGCGTGAAAATCACACAGAGAAATAAACTGCATTTCCATGAAGCCTGTAAAGAGACAAACGTTGCTAGAGATGGTTCTGAAGAGTTAATTGCAGATACTTTTATTGGAGGGATGCTGCTGAGAGGAAATGAAGTCAATTCTGTACGACAAGAGGAGCTGGACCTTTATCAGCTGCCAACAGCAGTGGGGAAACACCAGCTACAGTGGCTTGCCATTTATAAAAACATCTGGAGATAAGAACCTTATTTTTAGGCAGCGTGGTAGCTGGCTATTCCAGCAGGCTCAAGTGGTGATAATAAGGATTTGGCAAAAGAACAGCAGAGGAAGACACCTCATCTTACCTTGCATAGCCTCTGTTCTTCTTGCTTCCCCCTTGCAGCAGAAAGCACTGTCAACTGCTTTAGCAGGATTCAAGTGAAAATGCACTGAAATAGCCATCAGATTGCCTTCCTTTGCTTTCTTTACTTTTTCAGTATAAAGAGTGATGCTCTTTTCTCTTAACTTTAAGGCACAAAGAGGCTGAAAGTCATTGGGTAGGTTTGGACATGGCATGGGATTTTTAATACCAACATCCCTGGTTTGGTTTGTCTGAGAAGCTGCTGAACTGATTTGCTGTGTTGGAGGTAGATTTTGCTACTTGCTGGGCTGGTTGTAATGATTCTAGTGCATGCTTTGGATGTAGCTGATGCTATTCCCAGTGTGTATTAGTAAGAATAGAAATCTACCATAAAATCATGTTCTGCAAAAGCATTTCCTAGTTTTCTGCCTCAAAATTCTGCATTTGCAAGCCTCACCATCTGCATCACAGCCATTACATGTGGGAAGTATGGAATGTGTCTTATCAGACACAGAGTGTGCACAGCAAAGGACATCCAAAGGTTATGTTGTCATCATGTCAAATGGATCTGTTTATTCTGAGTGCTGTAGAAGCTGAGCTTAATCAGAGCATCAGCCATATGCAGATTTGAAATTAGATTTTACAATAACCACCTGTCTACTGGTTTGAATCCTTGTCATATTCCTTGGGTTAGAGCTGTACTTGCTTAGTGAATGTGTGTGCTGGGAGAAAATCATCTAAAAGCCATGATGTAAAAAGCTCTTAAGTGCATGTATATGTATGAGTGTGCAAGGGGAGCACGTGTATCTTATGGCTTTATGCTACAAGCTGCTACCAAAGCGTGTGAAGGGGAAAAGAGGGCATTCCTTTCATATAAAAATCAATAGTATTGGTGACTCCCCATATAAACTTATTTTTCTCTTCTTTTTTTGGCTCATAATTTTTATATGTGTCAGCCAAAAAAGTCACTGTGAAGTGATGCAGCATTTGATCTTTCTCTTCTGTAAAAGTTTTTAAAGGAATAACTACAAACATGCACATAATGTTTGTGTAGTGCCTGCCACAGTTTTGTGACTCACAGCATTCTGCCTTTAAGGAGTAAAAAAAAATCTGTCTGAAAGCTTAAGCCTCTCTCCTCATTATGTTGCCACATTAAAAAAAAAAAAAGAAACTCGAAAATCTGCGTTTGGTTATTGCAAGATGCATCGAGGCGATGGTGAAAAGAGCAACAATATTCAAAGTAAAGGCTGACATTTTAAATACTGGCACTTGGAAAGAAGTGGAATTAAAAAGAATTGCAGAGCAAAAATTGACAAATAATTTGTACCACCACTTAATCATATGCTCAAAACTGCCTGAAACAAGTAAGCACTACAGGCTTTTTCTTGCTCATCTCCACTGTGATAATTATTCTTCTAAAGCAGTAGCTGCTCTCCCTGGGGAAAAAGAGAGTTCATTTTCTTTTTAATTCAGAGTATGGCCCTTCCCACGGAAGCCAACATTAGTTTTTCATTGAATTCAATGAGAATGGGCCATTAAACGAGTTCAGTAATGCAAGAGCTTTCCAAAGACATCCTGGCCCAGATGCTCCCTCCTTACCGCAGGGAGCAGCAGTCACCAGTGAACATCTGAAGCTGCAGTGTCCCCTTCTCCAGAGCAGATGTTTCCACCGCTCACCACAGGAAACTGAAATGTGGAGTCAGAGCTGTTGTGAGTCAGGGAGGTGCCCTGACCGTCCAGCTGGCCTGAGCTGAAAGCTGCTGCCTCTGTCGAGGGTTTAGCGTGAATCAATGTACCAGGAAGGTGCCAGAAATGTAGCCTGAAAGCTTCCTCCAAAACCGAGGGCAGAAGCCTTTGTTAACACCAGGATGCTGGGAAGCCTCCACTTTGTGTGGCACTAAGGTGCTGATCAAGAGAACGGCCAAAACGCTCCACTTTTCCTGTGCTTTCCCTTTCAAGAGTTTGACCTCAGGAGCGTTTTGCTGCTTGAGTTCTCCAGGTCCAGCCACCCCCGTGGTGAGATTTGCCCATTGCTGGACCACGTTCCCTCCCACCCTGCTCTGGCTGGACCCAACATCAGCGCAGGGACAAGATGCTCAGTGTGATCGGTGGGTGACAAGCTCACTCCTCGCTCCAGCTGCTCGTCTCAGCTGGGGAAGGTGTGAGTTTGTACGTTTTGACTTTGTTCATTCAAGCTCACAAAACAACCGCATCTCTCCTGAAACTCAGGTCTATCTTCTCATCCAGCGAACTCTTGGAGGGAAAGCGCACTGTGAAATCGCTTTATCAGCCACGGCCGCCGCTCGCACCTGCCCAGCCGCCCCTCGCCTCCACCGGCACCTCCCGCGCCGCGTCCCGGGGGCCAGGAGGGGTTCGCATCCCTGAATTTCCGCGCCGGGCCCTCTGGAGGTCAGTGTTCGCCCGCGCTGCGGCGGACCTGTTGCGGGCCCGCGGAGGCTCCGCGGGCAGGGCCGGGCCGGGGGGAGCTGCCCGCCCGCTCGGAGCGCCGGCCCCGCGCCCGCCGGCCGCTCCATCGCCCGCGGGGGCGGCGGGGCCCCGCGCTGCCGGTGCCTGCGCGGCCGCGGAACCGGCGCTGCCCGGGGGCCGCCCCCGTCCCCCGCCCGGGGCGGTGCCGCTGTCGCTGCGGCGCGGGTGGGGCCGCGCTGCGGGAGGGGCCGTGCCCGCCCGCGGAGCCCCGCGGAGCCCCGCGGAGCCATGGCGTACATCCAGGTGCGTGCGGAGCGCGGCGGGCCGGGGCTGCTCCCCGGGGGACGGGGGGGGGCTCTGCGGCGTCTGCGGGACGGGTGCGGTGCCGCGGCGGGGCCCCCCCGTGCTCCGCGCCCGGGGCGGGTGCGCAACTTCGGGTTAACTTCTGGGGAGGAGTTGCCGAAGGCGACAGCAACCCCCGGAGAGGGGCCAGGCGGGGCCGGGGCAGGAGCGGGGCCGGCAGCTGTTGCTAGCGAGACACCGGGGCAGGAGAGGATCCCCGCGGGGCTGGCGAGCATCCCTCGGGCCTCTCTTTGCTGGGGGAGCGGGATGGCCCCGGGGGCGTGGAAGCCCGTCCCGATCCCGCAGAAGGAGTTCTAGGAAGGAGGAAGATGCTGAATCCCGCGGGCAGACTGAGATGCGATGGGCCCCCCCGCCTGGGCACGGTCCGGCGGGTGGGGGGCACTGGCGCCCTGGGCTGCGCCGTGATGGATGAGCTCTGCCAGCATTATGGGGCTGAATTTTTGTCGGGCTGCTTCAGACCCCGAGCCGCCAGCTTCCCAGCTATTGCCCCGAGCGCAGTTCGCGATGAACCCGAGCGGGAGGGCATCTCCAGCCGGAGCAGACCCCGCTACCGGCGCCACCCGTGCCCCCCGTCCCGCGGGGCCGTGTCCCCCCTCCTCCCGCCCCGCCGTGTCCCCGCGGTCCCCTCCCGCTCGGGACGGAGCCGCCGCCGCGCCCGGCGGGTGCGAGCAGCGATGCTGAGGGAGCTGCCCCGGGAGTCGCGCTGGAACAGCCGCGGGTGGACCCCGCCCGAGGTGTCCTGCGGGGCTCGGCGGTCCCGGCGCCCCCCGGCTCGGAGGCTCTGCAGCAGCACGGCTGTCGGGGCCCGCGGGTACAAGGTGGGGGTACCCGGGTGTGGAGCAGGACGTCAGCAAAGCCCCGTTATCCCCACACCGGCTCAGTCGTGGTGGGATGTGGAGAATGGGTGTCTGTCCAGACTGCGGTGTCCACTGCCGATGGAGCTTGTGAGTCTTCCTGGGTGACTGTGGGGGCAAAACGCGGTCTGTGACCAGTGAGGACCCCACCCTGCTGCAGCATCCCTAGGGGTACTGCCACGGTGGTTTGTTGCCACTGGTCTGATGGCCTGGCGGGGATTGGCGGCTCCGCTAACTTGGAGCAGGTGCCCTGCAGGAGGTTGTGGAGATGGAGCCCTGTCCCCAGCCTCGCCCCTGATGAGGGTTCACTCGTGGCTGGAGACTCTCATCTGGTTTGTTCTCTGCTCGGCCCATTGGGATGACGAGGCAGAGCTTGATGGTCCCCCCCGGACCCGGGAGGCTGAGCCCTTCTCCAGGAGGTGCTGAGCACACGGCAGCTGCTGTGCTCCTGAGGATCCCCGGCGCCAGCCCGCTGCTGCAGCCCTCCCTGAACCCCTGCCCTTCCCCAGCCCTGCCCCTCGTGCCTGGTGCCAGCGAGGTGGGTGAACAGGTGGTCGTGTTTGCTTTCCTTTCATGGGCCCTTGCATTTCAGCCCTACAGGTGCTGTTGACTTGTTTACCTCTTCAGCACTGTAATACTCAGTTCTTCTCCCTGTCCTTCCATTTGTGGGTGGTCACAGGCTCGCTCTGTGGGTACCGTGGGGTGGCTGTGTGTGCCCTCGGGGCTCACACACACGGGGGTGGCTTCACACGGCTGTGGCTGCTGGTGGCCGGGAGGGCTGCTGGATGTGAGCCTGCTGTGTGTCCCTGTGGGCCGCCTGGAAAAGCCCTCTCTTTGCATGACATGTGCCTCGGCGTTCGATCGCGTGGCACCGATCCAGCCGCTTTGTTCCAGAGCAATTCAAATATCCTCCTTGCAGCTCTGCTAAACCACTCTAGCTTTGGCTGCAACTTTGCATTAATAAGGAATGACAGAGCCCATTTAACCATTTAGCATTTTCTTAAACAGTTGGCCCATGGGTGTCTGTAGTCACTGTCCTGTCTCATTGCACCACAGCTCTCCTAGGCTTTTAGCTGCTCCTAACAAGTGGTGGCTTTCTTGACGAGCACTGGCTTCCAAGAAGTTTAAAAGGAAGGCTTGGGCCAACACGTGGTCCATGGGAGAGTTCTTGGAACTAAAGTCAACTTCTGCATCCCAGCTTCTTCAGAAAAGGCTGCTTTTGTCATGAGTGTAAAGCTAGGAGCCATCTTCTACATTTGGAGGAGTAGGATGGAGTTTTTTGTGGTTTTATTTTGTATTGCTTTGTTCTGTAGTTATGTGTTGGTTTGGTGCTTTGCTTTAGGGATTCCCCACATACAAAGACAGCCAGGACAAACAGGAAGCTTTTAGACATTATCGAGGGAATGCAATAGGTAAGACATTTCAGGAGGTATCAGAAATGCTAGTGAGTCTCCAAAGGAAATGGGTCCATTACATATGTATATATAATGTTCCAAGGGTGGCTTTGTGAATAAAACACTGGTTTGTGATGCCTTCTTCCTTTGCTGTAGATTTTCTCTGTGGCCTGGGCGCGGTGGTTGCATTGTAGATTTTGAATGGGAGCGTAGGAGTCAAGCCTTTAACTTGTATCTTTTGTGTTCTTCAATTTACATCTGAGGATGAGGCTGAAGGGGCCCAGAGATGTGTATGTAATGGAGAGTATCCAGTCTCTACCTCTTCCTAGAAATGTTGCTTTAATGAGTTGGCATTGGAACTGCATTGATATGGGCTGAATGTGGAGACAAGCCTTTTTCCCACTGAAAAATTTGGATGTGGTTTGCTGTCAGCAGCAAGTAGTTGCTGCAGTTAGAGGCAGGTTACTAAAGAACACAAAATAAGTGTTTGCATGCCCATTAGCAAGGAGCAATGAGCAGGATTTTCATGCTTCAGAAAGGGTTTGGGAGTTTTGGTTGTGGGAAAGGAAGAGCAGAAGGAGCCCTGGTAGGGATGGGTAGGAAATGGCAGAAGCTGATGCATGGTCAGATCTCTCCTTCCTCTAAATCTACAAGGTACTGTCTTGCCAGAAATTCAAACTCATCCCAGGCTGGGGCATGTCATGGCAGAAAATTTAAAGTTGTTTGAGCATTGCTGACTTGTTTTTGTCTTTTTCATTTTGTTCCCCTTTGCTTCATCCTGGATGTCTAAAAGGACAGTTGGAACCAATAAATGAGGTGAGTTAATCTGATGATTCACTCCCCGCTCTGTCTCCTTGCTCCATCCTGAGGGGATTGTCTCGTGTTTTCTGACTCTTTACTGATGTCCTAGATATAAGTAATGCACTGCATTTTGGGCTGGTAATTTTTTGGTTTGCAGTGCCCAGATTTTGTTTATGGAAAAAATGTGTGTTTTACTGTAGAGAAAAGCCATATTCCTATGAAATCTTCTCTGCAGATCAGGTTCCTGTGAGGAAACCCCTCCTCATGGTCCACACTCATGAACACTGCAAATGTCTCGAGTATTTTGGGGAGATAACTATGGAAAATCTCTCACACACTTTATTTCTTCAGTTTCTCAGGAGCATTTCAAGGTCACACTTGTAAAGTGGTGTGGCCCTAGGTGCAGGTGCTGTGCCCTTGCACATCTCCCACCGTGCCCAGAGCAGTGCCCTTGGGCTGCTTAATGAGCCCTCTCATGAATGGCAGGAGTTGGGGCTGGTGTGGGTGGGAAATGAGCTGAGGTTTGGCTCTCTGCTCCTCTCAAGGCAGAGCTTTGAGGTGGGGGGGAGGCTGTGGGGATGGCATGGAAATGGGGCCACAGGGTGCTGCCGCTCCGGTGGGGAGCTGACACAGCACTGCTACAAGTGGTGCTGCCAGTGCCACCACAGAAACCCAGGGCATGAAAGACTTTTCTGGGTCAACTATTCTCTAAAAAATATCACTGAAGGTTCTTCATTAAATTAATCATGGTGGCAGAGCAGAAGCATGAGGATAGTGTGCTCTGGCTAATCAATTTTAGTGGTGAGTTTGTTGGGCTGTAATGCTTCATGTGTATGGATTGTACAAATATTCCTGGTACATCTACAGGGATGAAGTGTGTTCACATTGCTGTGTTAATTAAGTAGATCCTTGCTGGATTAAATTGAAGCTTTCACTTACCTTCAGTTTTTAATTCCTTCTGTTGTATGTTTGCTGATCTATTAGATTGTTGATGTGTGTGGAGGAATATGCATGTTTCCACTCCAGCATACTGCTGTGCCATAGTGCTTTGTAAATCATCTTTTTGCCAACCTACATAATAATATATTGCTACTAGAGGGGGAAATACCTGCAGAGAATGCTGATTTTCCTTCCTTGTTATGGCATCAGTGGGGTTGGGCTGGTAACTGCATAGCACTTGTCTGTTGGTATGGATGAAATAAATATAGTTCTTAATGTTCTGTTGCAGAAACACAAACACAAATACAGCTGAGTGTTTTTTCTCAATAGCTATTGATGGGTTGTAATCTTGTACTTTGGTTTGCAATGGCTTCAGGGTCTGCTTGCTCGAATCTCAGATCTCTTGCTGTGCCGGTGGACTTGCAGAAATTGTTGTCAGAAGTGTTTTGACTGTAGCTGTTGTCAAACAAATGAAGATGAAGTTGAAATCCTGGGACCTTTTCCTGCTCAAACTCCAGCCTGGCTGTAAGTTTCAATGCATGATTTCCTAGCTTTAACCAAGGAGCAGGACTGCTCAGCTGTGATCAGTGTTGATATGAATGGGGCATTCAGAGGATGCCACTTAGAGAGCAGGAGCCTCCTGAGGGTGGGGCTGCAGGCTACTCCTGGCTTGGTGAAATGGGGCAGCTCTGTTAACTCAAATGGCAAGGTTAATCTTTGTAAAAACCTTTTCTGATGGGTAAGACAGAGGTTATTTTGTAAGCTGGCATAACAAGCTGATAACTTGTTCAGCTGTGCTCCCCTTCTCTAAAGATGCCTTTCATCTTCAGTCCTATTTCCTCTTCAAATGGACCAACCCTTTGGAGCACTTCAACTTGGCTGAAATGCTGATGAGGTTGTTTTGAAATACTTTCTTATCCTAGCGTGAAGGTGCTTATCATATAGGCAGATGAAAGGCATAATTCCTATGTCCTCTGAAGGGGAAATTCATCTAAAGTTTCATTTAGCAAGACTTGATCTCCTGCGTCACCATAGTACTCTTCAGAATTTCTTCTCAAATCATTAAAGAACCACAGCACCAGGCCTTATCTGGAGCTTTGATTAGTATGTTTGCAAATCTACTACAAAGGAAGTCAGTGAAGTCTTCCCTCTTTCACTCCCTCTCAGTCAGGAATCTGCAGCACAGAGGTGACCCCGTGGAGGCAATAGTGAAACCAAGAGGGGAGCAGAGCTCTCTGGTGTTTTAGGAGCTGCCTTGTCAGCTGGGCTGTCTTTGTGGAGCACAGCATTTGATGGACACAGCGTCAGCGCGTCCAGAGCTTGTGGCACAGGAGAGGCCTGTTCAGTGCATCATGTGATGCTCAGACTTTGGTACCTGGGCACTGAGGTGCTCAGGTAATTTATCTACTCCTGTGTTTATGTTCTGTTACTCTGTGTCAGCTCTGGAAGGTTCCTGGCTTGGTGCTGCATGAAATAAATGTTCTCACGTTTAAATCGCAGTCTTGTCCACGTACTCCTTTGAATTCAGGCAGAACAGGATGGTAATTAATACTGAAGCAATAAAAATAGAGTCTTCAAGATGTGTTAGAGTGGTTTTTAAATGTGGAGCAGCATGTTTAAGAGTCTGATATATGCTCAGAAACAGATTCACCTGCAATTAATGGGGAATGGAAACAAAATCAATGCTAAATAGGAAAGCATCACACACAGGAGAGCACAGTGATGAGGTTGCAGTATTGGACATGGAAAGATTGGTGCAGGAGCAATTACATCTTGGGAACAAGTAGCTGGGCTTGTAGTGAGAGGCAGATTCAGAGCTTATCTGGTGTGCTGAGCAGCGGAAGGGACATCCTGTGTGTTTTGGGGTGTGTAGTGATTGTACCAGGGTAGCTTTTGTCTCTTGGATTCTTCTGCCTGCCTGAAGGGGTGATGTGAGCACTGAAGCCCTGTGTCTATTATCTCAAATCTCAGATGTATGGTGGCTTTGCAGGTGAGTTGAACTTTGCCATGGGCAGAGAGCATGGAGACCTTTGGACTCATAAAATGCTCTCTCCAGCCTGTATTGTTTCCCCCTGGTCCTGCTCCATCTGAAAGCCTCTACAATAACTTCTTGGAATGGCCATAAGCAGAGGACAACACTCTCTGGTAAAAAACAACCCAGGTCTTCAACCCTGTTGCACTTTATGCTTCACCTACAGATGCTCAGAAGGGTCCCTGTGACCCCAGCCCAGGCCATTTATCCATCTCTCCATCCGTCTCTGGGTGGTTTGGTGCAGTTAGGGTCTCCCTGTTCTGCTCTAGTGCTGAGAGAAAGTGAGTTCCCAGAGGTAAAGCCTGAGAGGGGCAGCAGGCACCAAAGAGAGGACACAGGAGAGAAGAAGCTTTGCTTTGCCAGGAGACCTGGGCACTGCCATGCCTTAGGGTCACTGAAGTCACCATCCCCTGTGACACAGTTGCAAACCTGCGATCTCTGAGGATGTCTGTTGACACACATTGATGTATAAGTTGGAGATGAGGCTTTGATTGTCTGAAAATGCTCTGGGCTCCTCTAGAGCTGGCATGGACCCAGAGTGGTGCCAGGCAATGTGATAATGCTTTGTGCTTCCAGGGTGATTTTGCTGGAAAATGGTGAGGGAGCACAGAAATTATTTAAGTGAGGAGGACAGAGAGAACAGAGGAGATAGGGAGAAGCAGAGGACCCAAGAGGATGTGATTGGATCAATCCCAAGGGGACCCCCCTCCTTGAGAGAAGAGGGGGAAGAAAATGAGCCTGTAGAGGAAGAAGGGTCTGGAAGATGAAGATGAAAAAAAAATTAAAAGTCAGGAGCCAGATTTGGTATATTTTGTTTGCTGGCCAGTAGGAGACCCAAGCTTTTTGTGTGCATGTTTAAGGTGGAAATGATCCCATGTTGACTCAGAATTCAGAAACCAAAGAATTCTGTTTTCACTGTGTTGATCATATATTTTTATATCTCTATATGTATTTTTGGATGTAGGGAATGATTTCTGGAGTAGATGCATGAGCAGAGTAAGAGTTTGGACTTGTTCTTAGAATAAGGTTTTTAATGTTTTTAAGTGTTCAGAGATTTGTGTATGCCAGTTGGACCCTTCAGTATTTTTTTATTTTTTTTCTCTTTATTTTTGAAGAAGGGGCTTTTGTATTTAGTGGAAACCCCTACAATGAAAAACAGGTTTGACATTATCTTATTTTGAATTTAGATGCATGCAATGAATTTGGGGACAAATCAATTTATTGTATTCCCTGCTTGCAGCCTGAAAGTGTTTTAAAAATAGATCTATATTTTCAGCTGAGATCTTTCCATCTTGCCTATTCTTCATGGGCCTGAGACACTGGTGTAGTGTAGGATGCAATTTGTGCCTTCCTCACCTTCCTACCCAGTCCCCAGGGGAAACTGTTTTTATGGTCCTCACTGGTGAATTAGCAAACACCGAAATGCCCGTGGTTAATGACCCATCCTTTATATTTTGGCCCTAGGTTTTCCCTTTCTCAGCTCTGGGACACCTCATTGTCCTGGAAACTCACGAGTGGACGATAAAGCTGCAAGTTTAAGCCCTTCCTCTTGGGAGAATATGAATTTTTCTCACTTTCTGAATTTTTTTGCAGTCTCAGACCTTCCTGCAGTGAGCCCAGTTGCATTGACCTGAGTGCACATAACTGTGGACATTATTAACATAATAACTTCTTGTTATTTCATGAGGAGCACTTGCATCCTGGTCCTTGCAGAAATGGCCTGGGAATGAGGGTGGATGTTTGAGCTGCTTGTTATGGAATATTCTACACAAACCCCAAAGATAAACAGTGCACACTGTGAGACTGAATTGAAATCAGGACACGACTCCTCTTTCCAAAGGTTTGGATTAAACAGAAACAGAGCTGCTTTAACCAGAGCCAAAGTTTATTTGAGGAAAAATTATTGTGGCTCAGTAGCAATTTCCTTACTAAAGGTCATCTGTATGTTATTAACTCACTATTACGTTTACCCATTGTAGAACATCCTTAATGCCTTTCTTCCTGATTCCCTTTTCACCCTGCCTTGTTGTGTGCATTTGCTTCTCAAACACAGGCATATCCAAATGCCACCTGTGATGGTTGTGTGGACCTGCATTTAGGCATGAAAAAGCTATTTGTGTTCCAAGTACTGATTATATATCAAACTGTATGGTTTGGACTGCCCTTAATGGGCTGCAGAGCTGTGCAAATATTGTATGCCCCTTTTAGCAGAGGGTTTGGTTTCGATTATTAACAGGTTTTGGTTTCTTTTAGTATGGATGAGTTGTGTGAGCCTGACTTGGTGAAATTTGCATGGATCCTGCTGTGGACTTTGTGGCCTTGGATAAGAATTTCCAATTGGTTTGGGGGGTTTGTTTGTTTTTTTAATGCTTCTTTGGCTTTTCTGCAAGTTTACTGCTTTTTGCAGAATATAGCACTTGCTCTGCTCCAGTCATTGGTTACTAATGAAAATGATTCAATATATTTCATTTATACCCAGCTGAGTTGTGCACATAGAAAGGCTGGCTTGGAAGCAGAATTCACACAGAATTCCCCTTTGCTTTGCTCATTTTGTGCTGATGCTTTCCTTGTGATCTGCTGCTATTTTCTGTCTGGTGGCCTGGCTGTTTTGCAGGATGCTCCACACGTCATGTACCCATTGTGTGATTCCATTTCCATCGGCAGCACTCCCCTCTGAGCACACAGCTGCAGGCTTTACCTCCTGCAGTTGTTACTGTCTGCTCCTGCCCTTCTTTCAGTCAGAGCTGGGAGATCCTCACTTCTTTCAGGAGCCACTGCAGTGGTCATATCTTGGGTTTTTTAACCAGAATATTGTTTTGTATAAAAACATTTAAACAAATTGAAAAGGGAGTTACATGTGGACTTGTCTATGATGGCCAGCCTTCTGTGGAGGCTTCTCAAAGATGCTACAAAACTTGCTTTGTCATTTAGATCCTGCCAACTTCCCTGCTCCCACCAAGATCCCTGGGCAGTAAAATTATTGTCTGCTGAGAATCACATCTGGTTTATAAAAGTGGATAAAAAGCAGCCAAATATTTTAAAAGGCATGCCAATAAATAGCAAATAATGAATTGTGTCTGTAAGATCAAGTTTTGAAGTTTTACTGGCAAACCCACAACATTTTACCAGGAGGTGTGTGGTAGGTTTGGGATATTTGAGCATGGTGATTTTCTGTTCGTTCCTAGTGAAGTTTGTGCTTCCAAACTGTAGCTATGAATTACAGCAGGAAGCTAGTGTTTGAGGTTTGTGGTTTGTGGGGTTTTGGTTTGTTTTTTTTCCTTAGAGAGAAGTATAATATTTCTGATCAACATCTGAGTTATACGTGCCTTAGTGGCCTGTGTCATGCTCTAATACTGATAAAAGTCTGTTTGAAAGACAGGCAGAAAGGTGAAGAATCTATTTTTTCTGAAGTCAGTTGCTCAGCCTTTTGCTTGCCAGATAGATCAGGAGATATCCCACAGCATGGAGGGACGAGCACCCAAGATTAGCCCCAGAATGCCAGAACACGTTGTTTTTCTGTATATACTCCTTGTACTGGGTTGAATCATCCAGAGGTCTCTCATTATAACAGGATAAGCAGCCAAAATGAGGACAAAGATGGAGACTCTGATAATACAATCAGCGAGCTGCCTCCCACTCTTCAGGATGTTTCCCCTGACAGAAGGCGGTCGTCGTCAGATACATCACGGTCCACTTACAGCCTCACGCGGCGGATTTCAAGTAAGGTCGTCCTTCCAACATTAATGCAATTCTTGTGGGGGAGAAAATCAAACTCTAGTGCTTGCTCTTTGATCTTTTAGACAGGGAACCAAGTCAAGTTGAAGTCAGATTGATTAAAATCTCATCCTACTTTGCGGAGGCACAGTGGAAGGGGCCAGCCCTGTTTTTCTTGCTGAAGCAGGAGCCCGGTGTTTGCAGGTGCAGATGGGCAGGGAGGGAGCAGTGCAGGCTGGCTCGTGCTCCAGCGTGGCACAGGGGGCTGTTCATTGCTGGCAGTGCAAGGGGGAAAGCCCCACTGTGGAGCCTGTGCTGGCATTGCACAGACACAGAAAAGCTGTACCCAAAGAAGCTGACGTGCACCTGTAATTGCTTCACTGGACTCTCTAACCAGCACATTGGTGTGTTTCTCTTGTTCAGGTCTGGAGTCGAGGAGGCCGAGTTCTCCGCTAATTGACATCAAACCCATTGAGTTTGGAATAATAGGAGCTAAGAAAGAAATAGTTCAGCCAACTATCCTGCGAAAAACCTACACCCCAGATGACTATTTTAGAAAATTTGAACCAAGGCTGTACTCTCTTGACTCAAATAGCGATGACATGGACTCCTTGACAGATGAGGAGATCTTGTCCAAGTACCAGCTGGGCATGCTGCATTTTAGCACACAGTACGATCTGTTGCATAATTATCTAATAGTGCGAGTCATTGAGGCTAAAGATCTGCCTCCTCCAATTTCTTACGATGGTGCGAGGCAAGACATGGCTCACTCCAACCCCTACGTGAAGATCTGCCTTCTTCCTGATCAGAAGAACTCCAAGCAGACCGGAGTGAAACGCAAAACGCAGAACCCAGTGTTTGAGGAGAGGTACACATTTGAAATCCCCTTTTTAGAAGCCCAGAGAAGAACTCTGCTTTTAACTGTAGTGGATTTTGACAAATTCTCACGCCATTGTGTTATTGGCAAGGTGTCAATGCCCTTGAGTGATGTAGACCTTGTGAAAGGTGGACACTGGTGGAAAGCCCTTGTGCCTAGTTCTCAGGTAACAGAATTTATCCGACTATTGCCACAGTTTTTCTTCCTGTTTTGGGGGGTTTTGTGCATGTGTGGTTCCTTTGCCTGTTGGCAAGTAATGCTGTTTCTAATTAGTAATTGTCATTTTGTTAACACAGCATCTGCTGGGTTGGGATTATGTGGGCCTGTGACTGGTTTTATAACTAACAGTGTGAGGTAGAGGAGCTGTCTTCTGTAGTCATGAGCAAAGATCCTATGTCAGCTTAAACAAGAACAAACCGAGACTGTTCTGGAAGTCTGCACCTTAGGGAAGGTGTTTCTTGTCACTGCAGTGACCTGCATCCATTCTCAGGAATGCTGTGGCACCCTCCCAGCCAGGTCATTCCTGTGCTCTGAGGACATTAGGGGAACTGCTGGTGCCAGTTCAGTAATGATTTAGTTCAATAAAACATCTAGAAGATGGAATCTACCCAGATCTGTGACATAATGCATAAGCAACAATCTGCACAGGAGTAGATTTATTTTCATCAGATCCCTGAAGGAACTAAATTTGCCACAAATATTTGTCTGATGCAAATGGGATGTTGCCTGCATTTGGGGCATTTCAGCCATCCAGTGGGATGGGAAGAGGAAATGCAGAGGGTCTGTGTGCTTTCACCTCTGTTCTCAGGAAAGGGCCAGCTCCTTGCCAGCCAGGTCTTTAAAGCTTTGCAGCCAGGAATGGTGGTTGCCTACCAATTTTGTCACTAGAGGTATCACCCTTGTAGCTAGAGGCATGGAACCCTGTGAAAAACCAAGGGAAGAACATAGTGTGAGCAGCATCTCAAATGTTTGTACTAACGACAGGAATATCACACGAGGTTGTCTCTCCCAGTTCCTTTCCAGCTCACAAATTGCAATTTCCAAGGAGTCTTTGTTGAATTAAACCCTGTTGGATAGTTCATGTTTGATTTTTAGATGTTCACAAAAGGGTGCCATAGCCAGAGACACTAGATGGAATGAGCAGTAAATCATTTGCCTCAGGGCTGTCTTACATTGTGGGTTCAAGAGTCTCATTTGGAGTGGAAACTTCTGCTCAGACACTTGTGGAAGGGAAATACCCCAAGCAGTGTTTGGAGGTGAAGCTGGCTGGGGCTCTGTCTCTCCTTTGCCCCTCTGTGTGTGCAGAGGTCTGGGAGCACTTTCTTCTCTTGCTCAGACCTGCTGCACTGTGTAAAGGGGAGGGAGATCAGGGCTCCAGGTAACTGCAGGAGAGCCAGCTGGATTTCCTGTGACAGGAGTGTTGTGGGATTAGCTTGAACAATGTTCAGACAAAAAGGGAGGTTTTGGAAGTCGTGCACAAGTCAGAATCATGGGGTCCCTGAGTGTGTGTTTATGTAGGGCATGTCTTTGCATCCCATCATCCTCCCGTGGCTCCCACCGTGCAGTTTTGCTTCTCCCCCCGCTCCCTACTTTTGCATGATAAACACTTCTCTGTGTTTTGCATCTCTTTATGAGTAACATGGATTCATTCCACAGCTAATACAGACCTTGATTAGAAAAGATCATCTCTGCCTTCATGTGCCAAACTTGGAGCCAGCTCTTCCTTTCCCCCTCTCCAAAGTTTCATTGAAAGCTGCTGCTGTTTTCAGCAGTGCTGTCTGCTTCACCAGCATTCAAGATAAATTATTTATGCAGAAGTTGGCATTTCTGATATTTATAAAAGGAAGGAGAAAGACAAAACTCCATTTGAATGCAAAGGCTTAAAAGCCTTTTGCATTTATCCCCCTGCTATCATATGGAAAAACTTAGGCAAAAATTCCTCCACACTTTGCTCAGTAAAGTGGTCCTTTCGTACCTTTTTGCTGTTTTTACCTCAGCTGGCAGACTGCAACTGTAAAGGGATCAACAGTGCTTGTACAGAACATCCAGGGGTGATGTTTGGCATCATCTTCCCATATTTTCTAAATGGTAAAATTTTTAAAGTTCATTGAGTAAGGCGTATTTCATCCTAGTGGTGATTAAATTCACTGATCAAAGGGTTAAGAGAAATCCTGGAAGAAGTAAAACAATAAAGCTCGTTGCTCTGAAAAAATACATTTTAATGTCTTTCAATAACAGTGATGTTTGTGCTAGAAATTTCTGAGGGGTTTTTTAATACTAGTTGGAACCTTCTGCCTGTGGAATGATAGATTTGACAAGTTGACAAGTTTTTTTATACTTCTCACTTTTTTGCTTGATTAGCTGAGGGACAGACAGCCTTTATCAGTTTCTTGTTGGATTGAACCTGAGCTTGCTGGAGTGTGCTTTGTGCTGAGAGATGGTGATAGACAGGGACAAAAAAAACCTATCTACGTGCAGTTGCATTTTATTTTGCAGAAGGTGTCCTTGGATCCTGGAGAGTGCCACAAACCACTGGGGCGCAGTTCTGATTGTCAGTCCAGGAAAATTTGCCAGTGTGGGTTGTCTGCCCTGGGCTGGGACACGGAGCAGCAGCTGGCAGCACCCCCACAGCCACAGGAGAAAAGGCTGAGGCAGGTGCTTGGAAAAGCAGTAACAGGAGGGAGAGAAACACAGACAGTCATAGACATGATATGTGAAGATGAAAGACACAAAATACGTGAACTTTTTTTTTAGCTGGAATTTATAGACAGAAACATCGTGAGCTGGAGAGAGATGGAGGAAAGTGAATCCAGATGGCAGGAGCTGTGGAGAAGTTTTCTCTCCGTACTAGTGGGAGTGGGAGGGCAGCAGGCATTGTGAAAGAGCAGAGAAAGTGGCCAAATAACATGAGCTAAGATGAGCATCTGTTTTGCACTTGCTGTCTCCACCTGGAAGCCATTGACACAGAGTGTGCTGATAAAGTCAGGGTCCTTGTCCCACCATCACGTTGAGTTCCCTCATCCCAGAGCTGGAACACTGCCTTAGTGCAGGGCTGTGCCAGCACCTGGGAGCTGCAAAAGGTGGGGAAGGCCAGGAATCCTCTGGTGTGTGCAGAGTCAGCAGGGACAGCAAACCTCCCCCAGGTGAGGCACGGTCCGGCTTCTACAGCCAGCAGCTCTGTTGGCTCCACGGGGAGCTGGAGCAAGATCAGCCCCTTAGGCCTGTGGGTGGGATGTGCAGCTCCTCATTGCTGGGGGATGTGTTCAGCAGCAGCTCATGGGGCTGCTGTGAGCCAACAAGCAGAGCACTTGTGTGAGGAGGTGGCTGTGCAGCGCTGTCCTGCTCACTGGCAGCAGTGCCTGGCCAGAGAGCCCCAGCCCAGCTGGGCAGTGGGCTGTGCTCTCAGCCTCAGGAGCCAGAGCTACCAACAACTCGGTGCCAAGCCTCAGGCAGAAGGCTCTACCTGCACACAAGCACTTTCTGAGCTTGGATCACACGTTTGGCATTCAGGGGGATGGAGCCCAAGGCAGAGGCACGGGGGAGCTGCTGCCCAATGCATCATCTGAGGCAGCAGCTGAGCAGAAGGACTTACTCCTTGAGGAAAATGTCAGTGCAGGTATTGCCAAATTCTTTGTCCTTGGTGGTTCTGGGAGGCTTTCTCTTGCAGGGCAATTAATGCCTTTCTAACACGCAGTAGCTGCTCATGGAAAGGCTCTTGAGTCCAGTCCCCATAGGAACACTCTGCACTCCTTAAATATCCTCTGAAATGTGTGTGGCTTTGCTTAATTACCATGAATGAAGTTGGCAGGCCTCGCTGTAGCTGGGCTCAGATTCGCATATTTCGCCACTAAAACTAATTCTGAAGCACATGTTCAGGACCCCAAGTTTTATTGACATATGATTCATTTCTCTTTTGGCAGATTTGAGTGGGCAGGAATAAATGTTTTAGACCAGCAGTAATGAGAGCTTGGAGATCATTCTGCAAAAGAAGAAAAAAAAAAAATTTCCTACTTGTGGTGGGAAAATAGCATGAAATTCCTTCTTCCCTCAAATTAAGCCATTTTTATAGTAGAGGGAGCTTTTTTATCTTCATACTATGAGTGCACTAGAATGACCTGTCAGTTCTGATGTTCAAGATGGTACGAGGTGGTTGTGTGGGGCCACGTTTGCTCATCAGGTGAATGTTAAAATCACCCTGGAAGTTGACCTGTGGCCAGTGGAGGAGATGCCCTGGACAAAGCCTGGCAGAGGGCAGGATACCCCCACCCTGCAGGTCACTGGAGTTAGAATTGTGATGGGATGCTGTGATGGATATTTGTCCATCATGATAACAACGTTTTTAGCTCTTAATCTTTGGTTTGTTTTAATATTTTGGCTTGTGCTGTTCTATCTTCTTCAGTTTCATTCTGTATATTTGTTTTTCCTCAGCTCCATTTCAGAGGTTTCTTCCCCCCTTTCTTTTTTGAGTCTTTAAAGCTGCAGCACTGAAAAGCTTTTCTTCTTGGCTGTTCTCTTTTTATCCTTATCTGTCTTCTTGGTCACCTCATCCTTTGCCCTCAGCACTGTTCACTTCTTGCCCTTCCTGCAGAGGACTGGGATGCTGGGGGTGTATTTTGTGGAGCAGGATCCCAGAGGAGAGGCTGTTTGGCTCCAGGAGCAGGACCTCTCCGTAGGATATCTTCTTCCCAAAGCTTTTTGCAAAACAGAGGCTTTGTCATGGCCTTTCAAACTAATGCAAAGACAATTTGACTTGAGAAGGGATTCTGTGACTCTCTTCATCACACATCCAGTTGGTGTCAGTTATGTAGGAAATACTGCTCCAATTCATTGGTAAGCATATTTTTTTCTCAGGTTCTGATCCTTAATAGCTCAACCTTCCCAAAACAATGACTGTGTCACAGGGTGCTGTAGAAAACCTGTTAGAGCAAACTGTTCTAAACTATCGGTTTTCTGATGTGCCTGGAGGTACCAACACAGATAACCTTGAGGAGGAAAATCAATCTGAAACTTCATTAGGAGCAATGCATAGATGTCAGTGCTGATGTAATGTGCTCTGGTTCCTGTTGGGAAGGGTTTCAGCTGCAGAATTTTGCTGGTGTTGTAGCAATGCACAAGGAACAGTCTGGGGGGCTGTGAGGAAGGAACTACCTGGTCCAAACAAGATGTGCGAATGGCATTAATTAAAAGCTCATCTTCCTTTGGAGGAACCTCTTTGTGTTTCAGAGATGACAGAAAAGAACAGAAAAAAATTCTGGTTCAAAATTTCTGGGTTCAGCCCAGGCAGTAACTGGAGAAGGTTCTGGATCACAGGCGAGCCCAAGGCAAATCCAACCTGGCAGTGAGATATAGCCAGGAGTGAAATGTTAATCAGAGCTTCAGGAGTCTCAGACATCCCAGACTCGGTGTCACTCCGGCATCTCATCAAACAGGAAATTGCTTTTCCAGGGTCATCTGGGATCTCGGCAGAATCAGCTCGTCATCAGCATAATAATGGCAGCTGAAATGATGCCTTAGCACGGGTGCTGGGGCACCTCTGCACGCTGCTGCTGCGAGCAGAACACTGAAGGCAAAGCCAAGAGCGCTGTCGTTTCCTGATGGAAAGACCTAGGAAACGTGAAATTCGGGCACTCCTTGCCCTGCGGTGAGCGGTGTGCCAGTGGCACCTCTTGTGCACGAACTCGCATCCCCTGTTCTCAGCTCCTCCAGCAGCCCGAGCTCTGGGGATGCCCCAGGGTGAGACAGAAGAAAGGTTCTGAGCCTCCACGGGATGCTCTGGGCACGGGCTGGGCTCGGGCTCGCTGCCTCTGGCAGCACAGAACGTTTCCGAGCTGTGCCTGAGCAAAGGGAGCCATGGCATGGGCTTGTGGGGACCTGAAACCTCCTGCCTGGTACCTCCCGCTGCCCGGGGCAGCCCGGGGCTCCTTTGTGGACTGCGGCAGGTGACCGGCACAGCAGAGGGCTGCTGAGCGTGGGGCCACTGATCCACTGTCCTGTGTGCTCCACATCCCCTGAGGCACCGGGACACCATGTGAATGTTTCCCTGATCCTCGTGGCTGAGCTAGAAGTAATGCATTTATAACATCAGAGGCTGCTGGCATTCAGTGCCTTGGAAAGGCTGAGTCACGGTCCGGGGAGGTGAGCTGGCCGGGAATGTGGGCTTCCTTCTGGAAACACCTCCTCCTCCTCCTGCTGCTGCTGCTGCTCTGCCTGCGGAGGGGATGCTCTTCCCTGCTGCCTCTGAGCACAGCCCTCCTGCCCTGGCACTGGGGCAGGGGCTCTGTGTTCCCTCCCTCAACATGATTAACACAAATCTGGGCACTCTTGAGAAGCATGAACTGGCAGAAGGTGCTAGTGAGATTTGTGAGATTCGGCTTCATCTGGGACTGATTAAAGCTACTCGTAGTCTGCATGTCATTGATGGATCACTCTTCTAGAATATAACATTTTATATCTCTTCTTACTCAAATTTAAGCCTGGATAGCCAAAAAGGTTTTTCTAGAGGCTCCAAAATCCCTGTTAGGCTAGGTCCTACAGTAAATTAGGTCCTGCCTTTACCTGTGGAAGGCTGGGTGGGTTGGGCAGCAGTGTGATGACTACACTGGAGTGGCTCCTTCCATAATCCCTGCAGGGACAATGGGATGTGGTTCTCCTGCCAGTGCCTCAGTGGGTGTTACAGATCCAGCCTGACAGTCAGTGTACAGCACTGGGCTTTTTTTTCTCCTTTTTTTTTGGTAAATGGATCACGAATGCAAACGAATTGGAATCATGGAGATTTGCCTTCCCTTGCTGAGCTCCATGGCTCCTCTCTGGCCCAGGGAAATGTCTTATTTCCTGCAGTTCTTGGATAAGGTCAACAGATTCCATCAATGGACAACTCCACAAGTAATTATCCCAAATCTTAATGCAGATTTCCAGCACTCTAAGCCAGAGGTGACTGGAAAGGTCCTACATCACTGCCCCATGCCAGCCTGCCACCTGGCTGTGCCAGAGGTTTGGTATTTGCAGCTGGAGATGTTTGTCTCTCCCCAGCAGGTAATAAAATCACTGAACAGTTTTCTAATTTGCACTGTCCAAATGCACCTGAATTTCTAGGAGTTTAAGCCTGAATGGAACCAGCAGTGAATGCAAGTGGAAGTAGAACTGTGTCTGTTAAAAATGTTGTTTATATGTTATAAAAAACAAGCTGGGGTGGAGAGCTGCCTTGTGTGGCTCCTGTTGAGGGTGGTGGTGGTGGTGTGGGCACTTTGATGCTTCCATCCTGTCCTGATAATAGGATTAAAAATCACTGGCTGTTCTTGATGATAAACGTGTCTGCAGGCTGTTCCAGCCACAGACCTGAGAGGAGCATTTTTGGGCAAAATCAAATGAAATATGATAGTTTAAATCAATTAGATGGTGTTTAGACCACGTTGGATGTGAGACTCTGAGATCCTTACCTTGTGCAACCACAGGGCACCATGGTGTGTGGTGTATGGCTTGGCCTTGCCAGAGTTGTGAGTATTGTGTGCATATTGGGTCAGGCTTGTACTGGGGAGTGGCTTTCTAATGGAAAGAACTTAAAACATCGTATATTGAAGGGCCCTGTGATGTGGGAGCTGGCACAGGTTGATGAAAGAGAGGTGCCTTCTGGGTGAAATACTGTAGCAACAAAAGAAAATGCATGTGGTAAATGTGAGTGTGGGTGCTGTGGAGTCTCTGTACTGCCCCACAGGATGCTGTGACAAAAGGATTTTGAGTTAAGAAATCAGATGCTTTTCCTGGTTGGGTTTCCCAGCAGCCCCAGCCTCAGTTTCCTCGAGCCACTGATGTCTTTGGCAGGGACTGTGCCTCGTGTGCTGGCCCATCTGCTGATGAACCTGGTTCTTTGGGTCAGTTCAGGCTGTGACTATTCTGAGAGCCTTTTACTTTACTGTCTACCCACAGTCTCTGGTTTCTGTAATCTAATATTTCGGGCAGTGGTAAAGATATTTAAGCCTTTTGTTATGATATATGCAATACCACTGCAGCTCCTTTTCCTCTTGGGAAGGGCTCTGACCCCTGATCTAGGTTGGTTTTGGACTATTTGACTATTTGGAATGAAGCCCTAGCTCTGCACTCCGTGGACCTGACACTAGGCAGATGGATCAATTCCCTGCCTGGGCTGGCTGGGGTGTTTTCAGTCTCCAGAGTTGTTTCAGCGTATGTGTTTTGCATCTAACAGTAAGAGCCTCTCAGAGCCAGGCCAGGGCAAGGGGGGGAGAGGTTATTTTAAACCCTCACATCTGAGGAGCAGTGATGTGAGCTCTCCAGCTCTTTAATTACTAGTTTTAAGCATCATTAAGTAAAAGGAGAAGATATGATGGCTGAACAGCTGTCCTGATGTGGAGCTGTGGCCATGGTGCAGGCTGGTGAGCAGCAAGGGCACACTCAGGCTGTGCCATGGTCTCTGGGAGATGCCAAGGGAAGGTCTCCTCTGAGCTGTGTGACCCAGGGATGCCATTAACCATGGCTGAGCTTCCCAAATGGCTGGTGTGGTCCATGGGGGCTGGGGAGGAAAGAGAATGTCTTCTCCAGTGGGCCTGTGTTCTGCACATTGGTAAGATCAGAGCTACCTGGAACCATTAAAAATGGAGCAGGTAGAAGCTACTGACCTTGTACCCCTGCCTCCTTCTAGGCCCTCTTTGCATGGCTGCTGGGAAGCTGGTGAAGGATTGGTGATTAGAGAAGGATCTTCACTTGGGGATAGTTTCTTTCTTGTTTCCTCTTAGCACGAGCTACCACCAGATGGTTCTTGGTTGCAGTTCAGAGCGTGACTAAAATTCATTTTTCAGGCACTTAGACAAATGGGATTTATTTAATTTCTCTCCCTTCCCTTCCCCTCTGAGCTCTGTTCTAAATCTCCACATTCTCTTTTCCCTGCAGAATGAAGTGGAGCTGGGAGAGCTGCTGTTGTCACTAAACTACCTACCAAGTGCAGGAAGGCTGAACGTGGACATCATTAGAGCAAAACAGCTTCTTCAGACAGACATGAGCCAAGGTTCAGGTAAAGGGCAGTGCATCTCTCACGTTACTCATGCACAGATTATGTGTGCCTTTAAAGCAGATCAGTGAGGCTGCAATTTGTGGGGGACCCAGGGGGATTTGATGCTCAGCTCCTGTTAATACAAAGCCCTGGATGTCCTTTTGTCTGTGTAGACAACAATATTGGGAGTGTTTAGAGTGCTTACCCTGAGATACAGTGGAGGGTTTGCCAAATTTAAGGTAAAGATCTCTGAGCCAGGCTGAGGTGAGGAACCAGGAGCAGTGACCCCCCCTGTGCTGTGTTGTGTAAGGCAGGCTGTGGACATTGCTCCCTGCTGGCTCTGGCCACTCTGGCTGGGAACTGCTTCGTGCCTCTGTCCCTAGGTGGTTCTCCCATGTTCCTACCCCAGCCTCTGCTGCTGCCAGAATAGTGGCATTTTCCAAAAAAGAACAGTATGCTTGGTCTCTGTCAAGGCTGACATTACCTGTGGTTTTGGCAGGGACTGTTTTTAATCCAGCTGCCTGACTTTTGTCCCCACTGGATATCTGGCAGCAGTGTGGGGGTACAGGTCCCAGCCATTCCAAAGGCTGTTTCCAGCACAGTCCATCCCTGTGGTGCCCAGCCCTCATGAACAGGGGTGCTGGCTCATGATCCCCATAACACAGGGCCTGTGCTTTGTGCTTTTTGCCAGATCCCTTTGTGAAAATTCAGCTTGTTCATGGATTAAAATTAACAAAAACCAAGAAGACCTCCTGCATGCGGGGCACGATAGATCCCTTCTACAATGAGTCCTTCAGCTTCAAGGTTCCACAGGAAGAGCTGGAGAATGCCAGCCTGGTGTTCACAGGTAATTGTGGTGGTGATACCGGCTTGGCACGGTCGTGGTTTGCTCCGAGGTGAGCACAGCAGCAGCTGTGGGGGTGCAGGACACTGCTTGTCCCACCCTACAAGGGGTGTCCATCACTGGGGTCTCCTGGTGAGTTTAATTAGCATGGGCTGTCCCCAGCACGGGCTGTCCCCAGCATTGCCACCCAACCACTGGGCCTGGCTGGGAGTCAGTCCTGTGCGTAACTGTGCAGAGGAAGAGGAGGAGCATTGATTTCCCTTCTCAGTGGCACCCAACCTGGGCATTAAGTCAAACCTGAGAAGAATGGGAGAACAGGAGTGAAGAATCACAGAGCCTAAGCACTGGCAAAACAACCCCTGGTACTGAGGTGGTTTGCTGGTGAGAGGATGCACCTAAAGGCATCCACATTGACCTCAGCTGCTCTGTAAGCAGGGCTTGCTCATGCCTTGGTTTCTGAAGGGCTGGGACCCAGTGGCAAACCCTGCATGGCACAGCTGAGATGGACCCAGGTACAGACCACAGAGCCTGGGGGCCACGAGGAGGCTCAGAGCTGAGCTCACCTGAGAGCTTTGTCAGCACTGGAGATGCTTGGCTGGGATGGGAATTTTTATTTTTAAGCAGTTTCTGAATCTCCTATATTTGCCCTCAAGGCATGAAGACAGGCAGGAGTAGCCTTGGGCTGTGAGCAGGAGTGGCAGAGCACGGGGATGGTCCTGGCTGGGCTGCAGTCCTAGGCCAGGGACCTGCTGGGGCTGATGGCATTCTCTGCCTTTTCCCACTGTAAAAGTCCTGAGCAGGGCTGCAGGGACCCCTGTGAAGGAAGAGAGGGGGTCCCTCCCTTGCCATGACCTCACCCACCCTATGGAGCTGTGGAGCTCAGGCACCACCAGGATCAGAGGGGCTGGGTGGTGGGGCCCACACTCTCTTAACACATCAGGCTCTCATGCTTCACCAACACTTTTTTTGACAACTTTCCACCCATTACCCATCATTTCTTTTGATGAAAAGAATCTGCTTCTGAAAGGATGTATTTTGAAGTATTTTTAAATTTTACTTTTTACATGGAAGATACAGGTGTCAAAGCTGGTTCAAGGAGGCTTATTCCATCCCATTAGTTTGTTTTCAAACATGTTATAACAAAAAGTGATGCTGATTAGCAATTTAAATTTTGCCCTTCATGCTCAGAAATTTCCTCAGCAAAACACCTATAATTAATCACTGCTTTGCATGCATGTCACCCTGACTGTACCTTGCATGTGCAGTGATGAATTTGTTCTTGGAAGCTTCCATCGGCTGGTCTTGTGACAGGTGCGAATCACTTGATTCTGTTTTCCCATTTTCCTGCTGGAAGCAGAAAAGGCAAACAGAGTAGCAGCTCTCTGCAGTTGGGAGGGTGAGGGGAACACTCTGCTCCTCACCACAGTGAATGAAGTTAGGATTAATGAGTGGATCTCTGAGTATTTTTTTTTTCTGTGCAAAGGGGTGTATTCCCAAATGAGCCAGTGGGAAGCTGGCTGATTCATCACCCTATGTCACGCAGTTGGATTTCAGCGCCGAGCCTCGTAAGTGAGGCTTCATTCTCTAAGTGACATATTGCTTGCTTTGGATGTTTCAATAAATAATCCCTGGGCAGAAATGTCCCCAGCAGCTCTGAAGCTGGGAAGGAACGTGCAGGGCCTTGAGAGGAGCGGTGGGGCCGGGTTCCCCTGGCTGCTCTTGGGCTGGAGAGTGAGGGGCAGCGTGGGCACTGCCTGGGCTCCCTGCTGGTGCCTCTGCTGTGCTGGGACCCTCTGCTGTGAGAGGTGGGCTTGGTGGAGCCAGCAGAGAGCTGGAGCCAGGGGTGCTGGTGATGTTATTGTGTGTACAGCCTTCTGCTGGGTCAGTGCCCGCACTGTCTGCCACAAGGACCTCTGGAGCAGGGCATGTGACGGTGGTGAAGATGCTGAGGCACATTCAGTGCTCATCTAAGTGACAGACTGACTCCTGCTGCTGGTGGAGGTGTGTCCCCAACAGGGAGTGCAGCACCAGTTAATTCCTGTGGGGATCTGCAGAAATGAGTTTCTGAAGTTCTGGGAAGGGGGTTGTGCTGTTCCCCACAAAGCTCCCTCTTGGCACCTTACAGTATTATGCAGCTTAAGGACTCGTGAAGGGCTTTGGGATCTTCTGTTAAAAGATAACCAAGAACAAATGTTTGGCAGTTTGGGTATCTTGCTGTGAGGAGCTCTGTTTTGCATCTCTGCATAGCAGGGGTGTAGTTTTGTTTTGTTGGTTTTTTAACTTAGGTTCTTTGGGGTTCTTTTTTGCTGCAGTGGTGGTTCTTTCTGTTGTGTGGGGGTTTTTTTTGGAATTTTTTTTGTTTCTTTTCTCTTCTAATCCACATCTCTAGTCCATTAGGTCAGTTAATTAAATTTGCTGTTGAGTCAAAGTCCAATTGAGAAGCAAAATAATCCTGCTTGAAGGGTGGGTGATGATGCTTTGAATGGAGAGAGAGAGAGCTGTAAAAGCAGTCATGGGAGCCAGAAGTGAGTATGTCTTCAATAATTTAAAGGAACCTTTATTGTGGCTTAGTATTTTGGACCCAGTCTGCAGCTGTCTTTACATTGGCTTGGCTTCACTGGAAAGCCCTGGAACTCTGCCAGTTCCCATCAGCTGGGGCTCCTGGCTCCCAGTGGGGCTGGTACCACACTGCAGAGTAAGGCACTACCCAGACAAAGTAAGATTAATTTTATTTTCCCCCCTGTGTGTTTTATTCCTGTGCATCTTGACTCAAGCTGTCTGTGTTCAGTGCGCTCTGGTATGGATTTCTCACTGTTCTGCTGTGATTTAGCAAGGCTTGTGTGTGCAAACAGTGAAGACATACAGTAAAGCACCATCCCTGCTTTCCTGGTGGTGCTCTGGAGAGCTGAACTCCAGACCAAACTCAGGGCTGAAGCACAGCTGGATTTGGAGAGGGGCCCTGGGTGCCTCCAAGGTGATGTGCACAGGAAGAGCTCTGCGTTAGCCAGGGTTGGAGGAGGGGGTGATCGGGCTGGTTCTTTGATCTTTCTTCCTCCTGAGGCATATAAAGATTCAGTACTGCAAATTATTGGCATTTTACAGACCAAAATGCTTCTCCTTCCACAGCTCTGGTGGAAATGTCCTCTCCAAGAAAAAGCATCCAGGGTCAGGATTGCTGCTGCAAATATTCTGTTAACAGCTTCTCCCCAAAAGAGGCTGAAACCAGGAAAGGCACTGATACTCATAACAAGTTTATTGTCCTGACAAAAAAAAAAAAACAAGATGAGTGAGGCAACAGCTGGTGGAGAGAATGTTTGATTTTCATTTACTTCATCAAACATGTTGTCTAGGTAATGAGCAGCCATATACATATTGTAACAGAAATGCACTCTTTTGGGTGGTTCTTTTTTCCATTTTCTGGGAGTTTTTTTGGCAACCTGACACATATCCCCCATGTGCCATCTTCTGCTTGAGTGCAGGCAAATCAGGGGCTCTCCTCCTACAGAGAAATGGGGCAGGCTCTAAAAGGCTGGGTGTTCTCCTAACACATACACCTATGAACAAAGGTGTTAGTTACTCTGTCTGATGGCAAGGGGAAGGTGGAGTTTGGCCCCAACATCAGTGCTGGCAGCTGCTGCCCAAGGTCATTTCCATGAAGAAAAAAGAGTATTTGAGATGGAACTGCAGCCCCTGTGCCAGGGAGGGCTGGATGATGGGCACCCAGAGACCCTGTGCTCTAGCCAGTGAGGGATTTTGGGCTGTCCTCTAAATCTCAGCCTGTCAGAAAGCTTGGGCTGTGCAGCAGGAGGGCAGACAACACCTGAAACCTGAGCACTGCAGTATTTTGTTAATGATTATAATGTTGTTAATAACAATCGTCAGTAATGCTGTTTGCACTGCAGTAAAACCCAGATGGCCCAATAAAAACCAGCAGCACTCCAGGGCAGGCTGTGTCTCAGTGACTCCTTAGCATCCTTTCATCACTTACAGTGATGAAGACAACCTTCATCACTCACAGTTAGGGGATATTTGTCTCCCCGAGGTCCTTGTGGTGACTGTGTGTCTTTCTCCATTTAAGTCAGCTCTGGGACATGTTTTCATGGCAGGATCTTTTGTGACACAAGCAGAGTCCACAAAGAGAGAGAAATCATCTTCATGCTCTGGGTACTCTGTGCAATTGTAGAGGTAAAATGGCTTTGCCTTCTGACCTGGCTGAAAGTGTACATGAGCTGGGGCAGCACAGGGGGATGGTGTCGGATGGAGGGCAGTGCTGGGGCTCACCCCACTGCCCCATTCCTGTGTGGAAGGTGGGTCAGGGTGTGCTTGCTGGAGAGATGGACCTCGATATGTGAGTGACCTGCACTGCTGACATGTTCACAGTCAGTCCTGGTGAGGGTGCAGCTCGCAGGCACTCTGTCTTCTGCCAGGATTTGGTGATGCTCCACTTTCCAATATGTTTTAAAAATTGGCAGTGTCTCTGCTTTCTGTAAAGATTTAGAACAAATTTTTCCTTTTTTTAATTTTTTTTTTTTTTTAGTTTTTGTTTCATTTGTGGTTTTTGTTTGTTTGTTTGTTGGGGGTTTTTCTGAGTATTTTTTTTCCTGAGAGAGTGTTGAGACTTTGCAGACCTGTACCTGTGGTTCAAAGGCTACAGCAGAGGGGCCCTGGCAATGCCATCAGCCACCTCCATGCACCAAGTGCTGTAAAAATGTGTCTCCAGACCCCTGGATAATGCTTTATACCAGGGCTCTAATTAACTCCCAGTTAATAGGCAGTACTTGATTAAAATAACAGATTGCTGTTCAATAGCAGTGTACCTGGTTCCTCTGTTGGCTCATTTTCCCTCGGCCTTTAGGAAAATATGGGGGCCATTTAATGAAGTATTATTAAAGGGAAAAAAAGTAATTGTGGTGTAGTTCTGGGTATTGGGTTGTTTTCACTGAAATGTTTTCTTTTTGGAGCAATGCTGCCATAGAGAGATAGAGAGGCTTTTTAGTGGTATT